CGGTGTGGGGCAGGTGGCAGAACCCGCACGCGCGCCCTGCCTCACAATTTCCCCTGGCCATGCGGATGCAAGGTCGGCGGCAAATATCGGGATGACCGCGGCTGCCTTCGTTCACCACTTGAGGAGCCTGCGGTGCGAGCGGTTGCCTTGGCCAGGGAACGCAACCTCATCCTACAAGTGATCCAAAATGATCCAAACTGATGGCTCACATTGATGGATGCAACTTGCAAAAACAGGACAAACTGAATCCCAAACCGGAAAACTGGTTGCCACCCCAGGCCAATCAAACACGCAAGCCATGCATGGCCAGTGACATTCTCTGCTCTGAGGGCAGGCGGCGAATCACTTTGCGAAAGATGCCGAGGTGCAAGTGCGCAGCCCTCTCCGGCAACGCTGCCACAAGCTGCTGGAGTACATCCTGCTCCTCCTCCTGCTGTGACACGGTCAGAGGCGGCAGGCTCTTTGCCCGGATCTGGGAAGAACCTCCATCTGAACCCACCTCCGTCTCATCGATGAAGGTCAAATAGTATCGGAAGGGCATGGCTGCGAAACCTGGAGGCCGCAGCGGAAGTTAGGAAGTGGGCTGAAAAATGGCTGCTCACTCCAACCCACCGAATGTCTGGATGAGCCTAGCCTCTTGCCAACTCATAGCCTTGTCCAGCAAGATCCAAGGACTCGCATCAAGTTACTTGCAGCCAGCACCCACAAAATCGGCCCCCTAAGTGTGAGACCCTGGCAGTGAAGGCAACGGTGCTCGTGATAGGAGGGACACCCTGACAGAATATGAAACATCCTCAACGACCGGATCATATCAACAAGCGGCTCATATCAAGGTCAGCCCTGCAAATCTGAATGCTCATGCCACTCCTGAATACTCGTGTTCCTAGCCCCTGATTTCCAACAGCCAAGGAGGCAAAGGGTTTCTGGCGACAAACATGGTGGAGGAAGGCCAGCATGACCAAAACCGGAAGCTCCGAATGTGCCCTTCAGCGCGCATCTGGTGTCGCCTTTTGGACTGGCACTGGGTCTGGGCAGCTTGCGAGAAAAAAACAATTGCGGGGATGCATCCCGCAACGCGCAAGTGCATATCCATTTGATACACGGCTAGCAGCTGCCATCATGCACGTGGGCACCTGCCATGACATCACAACTGTGAGATTTGGAATGTTTTTTTTTTTGCGGCAAGGCAAGAACCCACACGTGTTCCAGGCATGTCCACGCAGCGGGACTCAACCAACACGGCTCATAGCCTACTTGGCATCATCAGCTTGTTGGCCCCTCATGGTCTAACCCGCGAACATTCTTCGTGGGCCCAACAACAGACAGCCAGCTAACCACTAGTAAAAAGGATTGCTGCCAGTACTGTGACCGACCTGTCGCCAAACAAAAAAACATGTCATATATTCAGTGTACGGGTGCAACACATCTCCAACAGCGTCTATGCAAATGCGGTCACTGCTACTCTGAGAGAGAGAGAGAGAGAAAAAAAAAAAAAGGATGCAAACCATGCTCCGGGTCTGTATGGAGCTGTTTTGCTTGCTGCACGTACGGTGCAAGGTTCAAGAGGTTATTCAGAAAGAACACATGGCCCACGACTTGTGAGAAGGCAGGGGACAAGAGAAATCAGGACTCGTGAGCTCTAAATGTGTCTCTCTCGTGAGGCATGGCGCCCATGTGGTGTAGGGGTCTCAAAGATTTCAAAGGCAGGGGACAAGCATTGCCCCCCACCTTCAGCCCTCCCGGGTCTTGTCTTGTTGGCTTTGCGTACATGCAGGCGCCCATGTTGTTCTCAATTGCTTCCAAACCCAAGAAAAATCAGTGGCCAGTGCAGCATAGCTAGCAGGGCTCAAACTTCAAACACAAGCATGAAAAGAGCTGCACACAGCTCGGAAAAAAGGTTGCCGCACAGCAGCCTTTTGCATGCCAAGACGAGAGCTAAGAGAGAACAGCTACCAACAATGCGATGCTTCTTAAAAGCGGCAAATGGGAGGGCATGCTCTCAAGCAACGTCGGCATCCTATTGCTGTCAGAGTGTGCCAATGAAAGCACGTTGCCGGCGGCATGGCCGCCACCAGTGGCGACTGGTGACTTAAGAGTGTGCCAATGATTTTACATCTGGCATGGCCGCCACCAGTTGCGAATGATGTATTTAACCGATCCTTGGCGGCGCATTTATTTCGCCCATGATCCTTCTAGGCAATCTCGGATTCTGAGAAGCCCCTTGCTAAATGGCATTCAGCATTGTCAAACGATGCAGAAAACTAGTCATAGTCTGTCAAGAAGGGTGTTGCAAAGGGAATTGTTGCTTGCGTGCGCCGCCAAGCACCGATAACCTTTTACGTGCAGGCGAATGCCACGAGTGCATTCAAATCCACGTCTGAACCGGAGCTTGGGGTTTGTCTTCTTTGTCATTCTGACCGAATGTGTGGCACGTGGGTGTGAGAGGCGGCATGCCATCCCCATCGCAATCGTGGATGATGGTGAACGTTGCATGTGTGTATCATCTGCCATCCTTGAACAACATAAATGGTGTAAACCCCGTCGAACGCGCCGCTTCGCAGCAGATTTTGCAAAATAGCTGGGCTCGGCTTGAACGAACTAAGCCCCAGTCGGCTCTTCGACCCTCAAGGTCTCCAGGACCTCCATAGCGATAGCCGGAATCCGGGAGGTGCCTTTGAAGTGATTGGCTCTCAGAAAGCCGAACCTGAGTGAAGTGGGAAGGCTGGGACTCACAAGGCTCCAACTGGCAGCTAGTAACAGAATTAGACATTCGCTTTTGGGGGCTGGCCCGATATGCGGAGGGAGAGAATGCAAGCGAGAGCCACGTGACCAGTTTTTCACCAAGCCTAGTTGGACCCTTGAAAGCAGCGTCTCTTATGACTTAACAGGCCCATGCGCGGTCAGATTGGATTTGGCAAGTTGACAAGATGTTGACAAGTACAAACATGCAACCCCAAAGCCAAAGAGTCCCAAATAGATTCATCTGATTCATCTACGGTGCGTTTTGAATGTTCCGTGGATATGAAGGGAGCTTTGCCAGGGGACAGCCCGGCCATGTTCATGCGACGCAGCTGTTGGTCTAGCTGGCCACGCTTCCCCCCGGCAGGTCCGTTGGCATTGGCCTCTTGGTGCATGACCTCCAGAAGCTCCTTCGGGATTTCGAGAAAACAGCCAAAGTGACCCATATAACTGCCACCCCCCAAATGAATTCGCCAACCAGGCAAATATTCATGCTGGTTCAAGGCGAATACGACTGCAGTACGGCGAGGTCGACCAATGTCCAACGGGGGTCCGGCCCCCAATCATTCCAACTGGGCGGCGCATGGTACAGTATGTAAAATCACAAGCCTTGAGCCCGGAAAACATGGAAAGCTAGAGCTTGGTCAAGTAGATCCATAACATGACGTCGCCAACCCCCCCGCAGGCCATGCAGGCCGCGACAACAGGGGGCATAAGGGGGCAACCTTTTTTTGCATCAGGGAGTTGTTGTTTGATGTTGTTTGTTCTCGAAAGCTAGAAAAAACAACAACCCGCAAACTAAAAGAAAACTCCCCTTTACAAATCACATACCTGCGCAAGATGCAGGCATCAAAACCCAAGATAGACGTCGGCTTTTAAAGCGACCGTATTTGCTCCCGAGGGAAGCGCAAAAAGGCTGAGCCATTGCCTCTCAACTCTGGAAATTGCCTTCCCTCCAACAATCATGGAAGTCGACAGGGGCTTCCCCAAAGGGAACATCGACTTCCCAATCCCTCCTGCGAGGGTAGAAAGCGGCGCTCTTTCAGTGAGCGACTTTTTGGCGGCCGCTCAGCCACACTTAAGGCAACGACAGTTGCCTTCTTGTGCTGCATGAATGCAGTACCATACAGTAAACACTTCATGCTTAAACTCGGTTAATTGTAGAAAGTCCGGTCCTGCTTTTGTACGGGACCTATGCCTCGTCATTTGCCTTCATAATGACTTTGTAGTAGAACCTACAATTCGCAATGGTTCATCAAAAATGGGATGTCGTTACTCCTTCGTAAACTTCTTTGATCCACAATCCTCGTGCCTCCATCACGAATTGACAATATCTGCCCTGAAGCGAGCGAGAGGTAACGGGTGCATCCATACAACCGCTCGGACAAACACGTATTAAAAGTCGCTGTCCTGAAATTGCAGCCACCCCAACTTTGGAAGTTGCCGTGGGAAAGGTACTTGTTTGCAGGTACCCTTTTTGGTGGTTGGTACATACCTCATGCGGCTTTCCCCACAAACCACAAGCACAAGAACAAAGAAACACAGAAACAAGGAGCTAGCCAGTTAGCTAGCACACAAACGAAAGATGACATGAAAAACGAAGAAGCCGAGAAACACAGGAACAACAACACCAACAGAACCCAAAGGAAACAAGAAAAAAAAACAGAAAACAAATTAACGCCGAAGCAAAGCAACAGCGAAAGAAAAAGAAGAAGGAACAAAACAACACCAACGCACAAACACACACCCAAACAAACGAACAAGAGACCAAGCAAACAGTCACAAGCAAGCAAGCAAGCAAGCAAGCAAGCAAACAGACGAAACAAAGCCAACAAGCACGCAACCAAACGAAGAGAAAACAACACAAAGGCAGAAACACAGATTCAACAGAAAGAAAGAAAGAAAGAAAGAACATAAAGAAAACAACACAAAAAAACAACCAAAGAAAATATAGAAAGAAAGGACGGCATGAAGCAACAGAGAACTAAAGAAGACATGGGAGACAAAGAACGCTAGACACAACAAAGCAAAGAAACCACCTAAGGAGGGGAACCCAGAAGGTCTGCAAAGAAACAAACAAGCAAGCAAGCAAGCAAACAAACAGACAGACGGGAAGACAAACAAAAAAACAAATAAACAAACGAACAAACAAACAATCACGCACACAAACAACCAAACAAACACGCAAGCAAACAACAAAACAAACAAACAAACAAACAAAGAAAACAAAAACTCATACACAACACAACAAAACAAACAATAAAGCAAAAATGCAAGCCAACCAAACCAACCAAACCAAAACAACCAATCCAAACCAAACTAACCCAATCCAAACCAAACAAATTAGCAAACAAGCAAGCAACACACAAACAACAAACACATGAAACAAGCAAACACACCAGCAAGCACACAACAAACCAACCAACCAACCAACCAAACAAATCCATCAACCCACCAACCAACCAAGATCAAGCACACAAGCAAACAAGCCAACAAACAAAAACAAGCAAGCAAGCAACCAAAAAACAAAGACACAAAGAAGCACAGAAAAAAATAAAGAAAAAACCAACAAAACAAGCAAGCAAGCAAACAAACAAACAAACAAACAAACAAACCGACACACACACACACAAAGAACAACCAAACAGACAAACAAACAAACAGAAAGCAAACAAGCAAGCAAGCAGGCAAGCCAAACAGAAACACGAATAAACGATCAAATAAACCAATAAAATACACATATTGTGAAAGAACAAGGCGACAAATGAGTGAAGAAAGAAGGAACAAACGATCGAACGCGAAGCAAAAGAACAGAAGACAAGGTTAGAAAAACAGAAAGCAAAGCAGAAAGCACTACAGAAGCAAGAAATCAACCAACAAACCAAGAAAGAAACACAAAAATAGGCAAACCAAAAAACTGCAAGGAATCAAGAAGGAAATGAAGAAAGAAAGGCCAAACAACGGAAATAAGTAGACACAGAGGGAAAGCAATACATAACGAAAGACAAAGATACATGGATTAGTAGAGTAAAAAGAAATCACTGAAGACAAGAAGAAAAAACAAGATGAAGCAAGAAAGAAAGAAAGAAAGAAAGAACAAACACAAACAGAAGTCAGCAAAGAAAGAAATCAATAATGAAAAGAAAGACACACAGACATACATAAATAAGGCTAGAACAACCGAAATATATGAATTAGTCGAGAAGCAAAGGAAAACATAAACACAGAAATAAAGAAAAAAAACATACATATAGAAACTAGTAGAGAAAAAGGGAAGCACGACAGAAAAAAGAATGCAAGGAATAAATCAAGCAAATAAGACATACAAACAGAAACATGCAAATAATTAAAGAAAGAAAAAAAGAAATATAGAAATAAAAAAGATAAAGCAAGAACAAAAATAGATAGAAAGAAGAAGTGAGCAAATAAATACATGTGTTTTTAGATAGATAACAAAACCAGAACAATTCAGAAACAAAAGCAGAACGGCAGAAACAAGTATCGAACACGATAAATAAATTAAGTAGACATGAAAGACATATATGAAGAAAACAACAGAAACACATGAGCAGAAAAAGAAGCAAAGCGAGCAATCATTAAAGAAAGAAAGAAAGATCGAGAGAGACATATTTAAGTAGAGAAGCAATCAAAGACAGAAATCTGCCAAGAAAGAAAGAAGCGCTAAAGAAAGAAAAACAGAAAACAAGAAACAAACACACAGAGAAACACAGTGATTACAAACCTGGACCCCCCCCCTCCGGATATTTTCAAATGAAATCCAACCGTGCTTTTTCTCAGCGCTTTTGGGCAAAGTAGTAGTTTCCGTAGGTCTGGGCCTCATGACTTGAAAAGCAGTTGCGATGGTCAAAAAGCAGTAGACATGATGAAAACCCAGGAGCAGCAAAACTAACCAATCACATGCATAAATGCTCAGGACTTTTTTGCGGAGTGGATGCTCGCCAACAAAGCTGGTGTGCAAATAAGCACGCCACAACTCCCTCTTACGAGCAAAAAGAAATCCTCAGCATTCGAAGGTTGCGGTTCTTTTCCTTATCTAGGCAAAATATCATCAAGTTAGCCCCTCAAGTGCTCAAGTGCAGTGACTTGGCCCCACTGTTTCAAGCACCAGCTTACAGTGCATTATGGCGCCACGGCCAAATTTAAGCAAGCTGCGCGCGTGCCTAGACAAACGCACCCCTGCAAAAGTATGGTGTCATGTTCCGCTTGGCCTATGCAATTGCGTGCCAAGGTTCAAATTTCAGAGTTTTAGCTAAAACCAAAGTCTCCGGAAACCCCGTGTTTTTTGATTTTGACAGATGTTGACGCATTTTTACGCAGGTATGTTTTCTTGCACGGCGCGCACCCAAAACCGCAATTAGCTCCTACTGTCGACATTGAAGCCCTTACTTCAAGGCTGGGAATTTCAGACCGCGGCTTTCTCTACACCATCATGGTTCTGCTCTACAAACTGCCTCTAGAAGGATCCCACCATAAACGCCATCATCTAAAGCTGTGCAGGCATGTTTTGTGTTCAATGTATGTGAACATTGCCAATTCCCGCAATGTTTCTATGGCGGCAATCTCCCTCAATCGATTCAGAAGCTCTACCAGGAGGTTTTCTTTTGGATACGCTATTTTATCCCGACGGGACTACATGCATGCGTCTTCCACCAAGATCAGCATACTGTGGATTAGGTTTCAGGAATTGATGGAAATCAGGGGCGCAACGTCATTTCAAGGAGCACATGTTCATTTTCAGGAGCGACGGCCATGAAATCCAGGAGGATCAGTTCTCCGTCATTTTTCTAGGAGACTTCTCAAAAAGCAGTAGTCTCCGGAAACTGCGTGTTTTTCTCTGAGAAGGGAGGCTCAGACTAGTTAAAGAAAGCAAAAAAGACAGAAATAAGGAAACACATAAACAATATCAACAAAAATAATTGAATATATAAATCAATGCCAAGAAGAAAGACAAACAGAAACAAGCAAAGAAGTAAACAAAAAGAACAACGGAAAGAAAACATAAGAAACAAACACATAAATTAGTAGCGAAGTAAAGAAAAAGAGCAAGCAAGCAAAGACAGAAAGACACGAATAAATACCTAATGACTAACAATACATACAACGGAAACAATTGGAGAACAAATAAAGACCGAACTTAACAAAGAAAAACAGAAACAAAGAAAGAGCAAATGTAAGCAATCAAGACACAGAGATGGGTGTTCCCGCGTGTGTACGTGCCAGACGCCGCCAGTCCTGGGCAGCCACATGTGGCAGCCGCTCCTGGAAGTGGGGCAGCAGCACTGCCAGGCGCTCGGAATCGGTCAGAGAGCCTGACAAAGGAGCGAGCGGCGCGCAGTTGCAGCCAATAATGCTGTCCTTTTCTGTTCCGTACTTCCGTCTACCCTAAAATATCCGTACAATGGCGCAGGTGCGATGTTCAAACCCACCTTTGCAGGAAACAGTGGAAGCCCACAAGGTTATGCTTACAATAGCTACCTTCAATGGCAAGAAAGGGGACCCATGTTTCCAAGTGTTGTTTGAGAGCCCAGCAAGCAAAAAGAGAGAAAGAGTGCTGGGCAGGCGTTTGTGAACCGAGAAAACAAGACAAAGGCCGCCTTGCAAACGTGCGCCTGCAGCTCCAGAGATTGAGGGCTCTGGCCTCAGCCCTGTCATTTTGGTCACAGTTTGTGAGTCACTTTGGTCGTAATCAGTTTTAAACGTTTTCAGCCCGCTCCTCCCGCTCATTGTGGTCGTAGTGTCTGATCATGTTGGTCGTGGTTTCGTTCAATTTCGTTCATTTGGCCATAGTTACGGAACCTGGCCAAATCGGCTCGACTGAACTCGACTCGACTGAAACAACTCAACTCAACTGCCAGCTTTTGCAGGGCCGCGCGACCGGGCTGGTTTTTTGTTCACGCGCCAGAGGCTGGTCCAAAAATCATAGATGTTTTCGGGGCCGCTGTAAACCGTCGGTCTACCGCGCCCGAAACTGGCCCAATTGAAAAGATGCGGCATCTTCGGTTGTTAGCTTCAGCACGTGCCGACCTTTGGCTTTCGATAGGTTCAGGTGGGCTTGTTTTGGGATTGGTGTAGGTTGGGTTTTGGGTGGGTTTAGGGTTCGCTCAGGGTGGGTTCAGAGTGGGTGTGGAGTTGCAGAGTTGCTTTGGCTTTGGCTGGGTTCGGGGTTGGTTTAGTGCCCGTTTCGTGTTTGTTTAGAGTTGGGGGGGTTGGTTTGAGGTTAAGGCTTGGCTTGGGTGGGTTTAGGGTTTGTTTGGCTGGGCTTAAGGTCCACTGCCACTAAAATGGCCAATCAATAATGTCCATGAACTCAGGGGGTGAGGTTTAGGCGTGTCGCAAACAAATTGACAAAAACATACTCCCCTTACTTTCCCTTCGCCCCGAACCATGCTCCAAAAGAACATCGATGCTTTCCGTTGTTCCTTGAGGTTTCAAACGGTGAGTCAAGGTATGGATGTCATCGTCTGTCAAACTTCGCCCGAAGCCCTGCCTAAATATTCCCGCAGCGGCTTGTTCAAATAAATCTTCGGCGCGGTGTGGGGCAGGTGGCAGAACCCGCACGCGCGCCCTGCCTCACAATTTCCCCTGGCCATGCGGATGCAAGGTCGGCGGCAAATATCGGGATGACCGCGGCTGCCTTCGTTCACCACTTGAGGAGCCTGCGGTGCGAGCGGTTGCCTTGGCCAGGGAACGCAACCTCATCCTACAAGTGACCCAGAATGATCCAAACTGATGGCTTACATTGATGGATGCAACTTGCAAAAACAGGACAAACTGAATCCCAAACCGGAAAACTGGTTGCCACCCCAGGCCAATCAAACACGCAAGCCATGCATGGCTAGTGACATTCTCTGCTCTGAGGGCAGGCGGCGAATCACTTCGCGAAAGATGCCGAGTTGCAAGTGCGCAGCCCTCTCCGGCAACGCTGCCACAAGCTGCTGGAGTACATCCTGCTCCTCCTCCTGCTGTGACACGGTCAGAGGCGGCAGGCTCTTTGCCCGGATCTGGGAAGAACCTCCATCTGAACCCACCTCCGTCTCATCGATGAAGGTTAAATAGTATCGGAAGGGCATGGCTGCGAAACCTGGAGGGCGCAGCCGAAGTTAGGAAGTGGCCTGAAAAATGGCTGCTCACTCCAACCCACCGAATGTCTGGGTGAGCGTGGATGAGCCTCTTGCCATCTCATGCGGCGTCGCCACCCGGACGCTTAAATAGGTCAACAAAGATTTTATACTACCTCCGCCAGCGTTACCGCCAGCCCGGCCGACCAATTTAACCGATTTAGATAGGTATTCTGGGTTGCGTCTTGAAAGCCTGCCTCTGGCCTGACCCGCCTGCTTGAACGTCCGGGCGTTCCGGAAAAAACCCGGCGAAGGAAGGCACAGTCAAAGCCAATGTAGCAGTTGTGTTACTGTTACATGGGCTCGCACGTTACAGTTTACACGCGGCTGTGTTTCCGAAAAACAGGCCCCATCCCGAGAAATGAGGAGATTCAAGAATTTAAGGAAATCTGGAATTTCCTCCAAGGAAAAAGTGTATTCGTATCTTTCTTGCTTTCTTTCTCCGCGAGCCGCTGCGCCGCTACACTGGTGCTAGGGATTCGTGGCAGGATTTTGCGAATATGAGACGGTCCTCTTGCAGGGGTCTGAAACAGGTCTGACACAGGGCCCGAGCCAGATCCAGGCACTCTCTCTCTCTCTCTCTCTCTCTCTCCCTCCCTCTCCCTTGCTTCTCGTTCTTATCTTCCCCTTTTCATTCTGGGATTCGTTGAAAAACAGGTCCCATCCCAAGACGCCAGGAGTTTCAAGCCTTTTTTTCCCCACGCACCTTTTTGCCCGCACGAGCATGCGGCGGCCTGCTGCTCGTGCTGTGCCAAAGCTGCAACATAGCTTCTCAACAGCATGGCCCAACAGCATGATGGTGAGGAACTTCCTGACGCGGACCAGCGCCAAGAGATTTCTTTGCCCGACAGCATCAGCCCTGAGCCTGGAGATGAAGCCGCTTCAGACCCACCTTCAGATGAGCCTGACCAAGAACATGAAGATGATGGCCCTTCCTCCCATCGTGGCCCAGCAATGAAGCGCCAAGTGCCAAGGCACTTGTGCAGCCCAAGACAGCGGTGCAGCCCATTCAAAGGATGAGGCCAAGGCTGCGGCTGTTCACTTGGATGCTGCGGCTGGCCACAGGATCTTGTCAAACAATCCGGGCCAAAGGCTTGGTTGCAGCAAGTGCAGGCACTCAACGCCAGGGTGCTGGGAGTGCATTGTAATGCGATGTGGGCAATTTTGACCGAGCATGAAGGTATAAAACCGCATGTGTGCCTTTCTGTTCAGACAGCCGGCCTGGCTTTCCTTTTGCCCCTGCGCATTTCTGGCTTGACAGGCGGCTAGCCGCCAGTAATCAAGTGTAGGGCTGTGTAGGGTTGTGCGCGGCTAGCCGCGAAAAACTGTGTTGCAAGCAAAGGGTTACAAGCACAAGTTGGTTGACATGACAGTCACATTTGCTTCCATGTACGTTTGCGAGCATGTCATTGGCAAATGTTCTGCTGTGTTATGGGCTTGCGTGCAATCATTTTATTAGCTAGGAAGGCAGCTTTAGATCCTGTTCAAGCATGGCCGACCTTGATGCGATCTCTCTCCATTGGCAGCGACCCTGAAGATCTCGAAGATGAATCTGGGCTTACTGCAGACTTGGCCTTGGCACCTGTTGGCCATACCTAGCCACGTCCTGGAACCTCAATGCCACCCAGGCCTTGCTGAGCGACCAGACTGTCAAAGTGCAAGTGGTTTGACCAATGCTTGGTTGGCTTGAGGACGCCGGTCAGCAACCTTCCGGCCCGCAAAAGGATGAAGCTGATGACAAACTGGGGAGGGCTTCCTGCCTGTTTCAGTGAGAGACGCACGCCTGCAACATGCAACCACTTCAAGGTTCAGAACGTCTGACACGAGCTGCCCAGCGTTACCCTGAGCAGATGTTGCAGGAACCTTGCAGCCTCTGTCCACCTCTACTGCATGGGCAAGAGCAGGGATCTGACATTGACATGCTTTCCTTGCCAGGGGATGCATCCGACCATGCGCTGCGCTGGCCTTCTGCTTTCAGACTGAGTTTCATTTTGGAAAGGGAGGACAGAACTTAATTCAAACCTGTTTTCGCAATTAGCTTTTGGTCAATGATTGGAACTTGTGGTTGGATGCTTTTGGGTCTGGGCAATGAAGCAGTTGCATCAATTGCAATTGCAGTCCAAAAGGTAGAGCAGTTGTCCTGCTGCTTTGTCTGCTGATGCCTGGGTAGCCAGGCTTTTCAACAGTAGTAGTCTTGTGCTGTGCTCCTGGCTAGCCAGGATGTAAAAACTCAAGCTGCCAAGGTTCCTTGAGAGGCAACTTTGCTTGGCAGCTAGCTGCCAAATTCAAATCCTGCATGTGTTTGGAAACTTCCATGTAGATTTACTTCCTTCTCAGACTTGGCTGGATCGCCTCTCTGAGGAATCCAAGAATCCTGGTGAACTGGCATGGCATGAGCAGTCTGTAGGCGCCCTCTACCTTCCTGCCAGACGGCAGCTTGAGACTTAGAATTTTCGCCGGACCTTGGGGTCCAGAATTAGGGGCGGGGGCGGGGGGAGATCTGGCTAAAAAATAAATTCTAGCCGGATCTCTCTGGGCTGACGCGTATTTCGCCGGATCTGGGGGTCCAGATTTTGAGGGGAGATCTGGCTAAACACCCGTCAGCCCAGGGGTCCAAAAATTGGGCGGGGGGGGGGTCTATGGTGGCCCAGCCCAGTACTTGCAGCACAAGCTGGCTGATTGAACAGACAGTTTTTTTGCAGTGGCTGGGGCACTTTCCCTTTGCAGGAGGACAAGCTGAAGAAAGCCAGCTTAGAGACCAGGCCCCCTGCAAAGCCCTGTGCACCTTGAAGCCCATGCCTTCTGCTCACAGTGCCCGCTTGCTGGTGCAGCACTTGCTGATGGATGGGTTTGTGACCAGCAGCCAGCCTCTGCAAATGGGGCATGCTTCGTGACCCCACCAACCTGGAGCTCAAGGGGTCGTCGTCCTTGGCTTCCTTGGTGCCGCTCCCCACTTGCAAGTTCGAGCACTGCAGCATCATGTGGGCCGTGAAATGGGCTACGAATTTTTGTCCTTTTGCTTGAAATCTCGGGGCTGCTGGCCTGATTTCGAGGAACAAATCCAGACGCCAGCATGAGTGCGAGCCAAAAAGGACTCAACTCAGGTGTTTGTTGCTTTTGGCCATCCATGTTTCGATATTTTCTTTTACGGACCTGTTTCCGTCGCGCCTCGGTGAGACAAGGTGAAACGCACGACCGACCCCTACGCCCCCGGCGCCCAACGGGCGTCGGAGAAGACGTCGCTCTCGAGCGGTGCGCTGGCGTACGCGTCGCCAACGTCGGTGGGCAGTTGGCAGAGGCTCGCGACGAACGCTCCCTGAGCTGCAACTGCGAGCATCTGCCCCCACCGGCGCCTGTACGCGGCTGCGACAGCCGTGCGATGTGCCGCGGGCGCGCTATGCGGTGGAGGAAGGCCTCAGTCCTTCAAGGGCCGGCACCGTCAAGCGACACCGCCGGGCTCGCTGGAACTCCATGTAAATTAATTACCCGACGCTTGCGCTCTGCCGCGGTTCTCAAGGCGAGGCCGGGCTCTAGGTCGGCGCGAGGGTCGCGCCTAAGCGGGCTGACGAGCGTCACATCGACCGCGACCTGCACGCTTCCAAAGGCCGGGAGCCCATTGGCGATGACCTCGAGCCGCCGCCCGTCGGTCAATGGCAGCTCGAGGTTCAGGTCGCGGAGGAAGACGTTGGTCGCGACCCGAGCGCCCGCCTCCCGGCAAACGCGCGCCGCAGCGCGCTCCAGGGGGCAAGCGCGACGGACCAGCACGCCAGCTGTGGGGCAAGCTGCCCGGTGGTGCCCGCGCCACCGCAGCGGCAAGCTCTGGCTTCAAGTGGCAGTGGGAGGCGCAGGCGCCGGAGGAGCAGGCAGCGGCACGCGTCCTCCTGCAGCGTGAACTCCTCGCGCGTTTGCAGCGCTGTGAAAGCCAGGCCGGCTCCTGGCCCAGCCTGGGAAAGCAGCAAGGCCCGAGACGCTCCGTCGAGGTCACAATGGAGCGTCTCAAGGGCCGGCTGATCCAGGCTGGCACAAGCTGCCTGTTGCCATCCGTCGCCGAAGTGACTCGCCTGAGCCCGTCCGCGAGGGCCGTCCACGGCGGGGCGTTGAAGCTCGCTAGGCGCAAAGCAGCCTCCGCCTGGGCTGGCGCCCGCGTCGAAGGCGTCTGGATTTTCTTGCATTGGGTTTCATTGAAATCATGTAAGTGGCCAGCAAAGCAGCTTAGCAGCCAGCTTAGCAGCCATGACCATTGCGCACCAGGAGACCGCGCGAACGTCCGTTTGGCCACGTCCTGCAAGGTCAGCATTCGCTCCAGGATTAATGGGCCGTGAGCTTCGCAACAGGCCAGAACAACGTGCAGGTGCAACTGGCACGGCGGTGTGTCCTTGAGATCATCACTGGGGCTTGTGTCAGCACAGTGGCAGGCTCGCCGGAGCAGGTCGCCGCCTTGGCGACGAAGCAGCTTGAGCTTTCATGGCCTGAACTTTGCAGTGTTGTTGATGGCTAACCTTTTTTTTCTTCTCGTGTTCGTGTTTCAGTGGAAATGGTTGGCAGGTGGCAACTGTTTAGCCTGAGGCACTGGCGCTGTTCCACGCCGAACATGTAGCGAAGGCAGTTTTTGTTGCCTAAACTGTCCGCTTGTTTTTTTTTCTCACGCCTTTTTCCGTCTGCCCGTCCACTGGAGGCCAGCCTCCCCGCATGCAGCGCTGTTGCTGACCCGGTCAGTGCCCGGGCACAGGCAGCCGACTGCACTCGGGCGCCGGAAGTCAGCAAGGATGTCGCTGACATCTGGCACGGGCCCTTCAAGATTGTGCGCGCCGGCTCCGGGCAGGGCAAGAAGGCTGGTGGCATACGCCCGCGCGGCGGCAAAAGAAATGAGGGCCGACCACCGGGCGCGGCATGCTGCGGCACAAGAGGCTTGCATGTCATCTGGCACAGAGCAGGCACGTGCCCGGGCAAGGCTGACAAGCTGACAAACTGTGCGGCCTCAGCGCTCCAGCGGCCACCAACTTCAAGTCCGACAACGAAAAGGCGGCAGCGATGAGACGAAAGGATCTCACGGTAAGTCCTCTCCTTGGCTCGCCAAGCAAAACGGAGCGCGGCTCCCTCGGCGCGGCGCTGGTATACCCGC